CTTTGGAAACCAAACATGTTAGTAAGATGAGAGAAACAACAAAGAAAAAGAAAATATCATCTATGACACCTACCCTGACAATATTGAGAGCAAAACCCTCTAGTGTAGCAGCAAGTATGAGCAAGTACCCCATGTATACAAGAGCAAATTTCCAGGCTCTGTTTTAAGGATATGAAAAGGGGGAAAAAAGAAAGTATTCCCTTTTTCATTTCTCTATTTAGACAAGAGTTAAACAAATACTTATGTTGTGCTCACTCTTTAGTCTTTATATTTATGAGTGAGGTTTCACGCATTCTTATGGTTTTTAAAGTTTTCTCAAGTCAAATTGTACACGATACAAGAGCAAAATACAGATTTCATGAAAATAAATTCATTGTTACCCTTGTTGAGTTTTATAGGGTTGTAGCAAAGAGACAAGTACACTCTTTGCAAAATGAGAAGCTTGCATCTATTGCGATTTGCGAATGTGATTAGATTTGGTCATGGTTCATAAGGAACGTTCAGGGTTTGACTGATCGAAATGATGTATGCGTCATCTCAGATAGACATGCAGGACTCTATGAAGCCATGAATAACATCGGAAGAGGTTGGAAGTGGAGGTGGTGCATGCGACACTATGCAAGCAATTTGCAAAGGAAGACTAAAAGCAGAATTATGTATAAGCAACTATTTCGAGTCGGTAAGCCTTCTTCATTTAATTTTGTTATTTATTTTCATGTAATTTTGTCATGAATTTATCTAACCCGTGTGGTTGTTTATTTTGTTAGCCGGAGAAAAACGGTTGGAGAAGTTCGATCGTCAAGTTGAGCAATTTAAGAAGGTAGCCAGTGATAGAAATATTTCATGTGATAACTGGGTGGATCAACATCAATATAAATAGTGGACACCTCTTAATCATGATAAACCATGATTAAATTAGTAAATTACACTCTTAAATTTTAACAGTTCCAAAACATGCTAGTGGAGAGCCGGGAGCGGCTACAGGGATTGGGGATGGCGCCGGGACAGGAAGTGACGACAGAGCGGAGGAGTTGCTACTGGAAGAGGGGACGGGGATGGAGATTGGTGATGGCGAGGTGGGAGCTGCTACGTTGTCTGGGGATGGCGATGATGCCGACAGGAAGCCTAAGATGAGAAGTGTTGACGGCGGCAGGGTCTGGCGCTGCTCTTCTCCCTCTGTTCGTGAAGAGTCGAAGACGAAAACTGAATTAGAGTTAGGGTTTCTTTCCCAGCCCCACGATTTTGTCTTTTATTTTTCAATTTTTTTATTAAATAGAACAACCAGAAGGGAAAAACCGAGCGATCGGTTCGAGCGGCTCGAGTGGTTAACCACCTCGGCCGCTTGCCAGCCGCTCCATAAAACCGTAGCGGCTAAATGACTGGCCCGAGCTGTTTTGCAGTCGGGTGACGGCTTTAGCGGTCCGATCGGCCGGCTCGTTCTGATCTTAATAACACTAGTCTACAAAATACTATAAGGCAATGTCAAAAACCAGCATCTTCCACGTCAGCCTTAAGTGAAACGGGCGCACAGTTCGGAGGGTTTTTTTTGTCAATTCCCATACCACCTCTACTGCCTTGCTCTCTGTCTTCCAATATTCTGCCGGAAAGCGAACTTCTCTCTCGCTCTCGCCGTCTATCTCCCGACACCTTCGAAAAGAACATCGATGTGCCTCTCTCTTGCTCTCTCGGCCCGTCTCGCATTGGAGTCGACTACCCAAACAATCTTGTCGCCACGTCATCTGTTCTTTCTCCTGGGTAAGTTCCGTAGTAAGATTCCACACCGCGTCGATTCACATCGTCAAATTGTTGGATTTATTTTAAAATTAATGGCCATTCTCGGTGATTTTTCCGTTGGGTGTGCAAAGATTGCAACAAAGGATTAAGGGAGAAGTCTTGAGCATATTTCCTCACAATCATCTTCCTGTTGATTTTTTCAATTACCCACAGTTATCCCTAATTTCAAAGCTACGGCAGCAAGCACTGCTACCCTGAATGGTTAGGGGCGACGTCCAACGAGTAGTACCTTATCCTTATCTACCCAGCGGTGCTAAGCCTTTGTTGGCCCTAAATTCAGTGATTCCCAATCAACTTTTGAGCGATTCCGCACCCCCTCTACATCCAATCTCACCTCTGCTTTCCAACTCGGTTTTGTGCTATTACCTACCTTATTCGAAGGTCTTATTCGCCCATAATGGTGTATGGTTATCAGTTGATTCTAAGGGAACACAACCTCTAAGAACAACTTAGTTCGAACTCTTTAGTGTCCAGGAAAATGGGTTTGGTGGTTATCAGACCGGTGCGCCTGTACATCCAGAGTTTTGGGGCTATAAAGTAACGCGGTCCAGCGAAACTGTTGTCATTCCTCTCACTGTATTCAAGCTTGATGGTCGATGGTTATCATCAAAAACCAAGGAAACATGATCTTAACGACTGGCTTAGTTCCAATTTTTCAGTGCGGAGGAACGTGGGTTTAGCGATTATCAAACAGGCGAGTCTGTAACTTAAGCGTTTTGGGGCTGTAAAGGATCTCCAACTTACAACCGTAAGAATCAGAGAAAAAGGATGTCACTGCAGCCGTTGAAGATTTACCCACTCATTCGTGAAAATGGATCATTCAATATCGCGTGTTTCGAAAGTGAATCACAACGAACTGCAACAGAGGAATGGTTCTGCACATGGACATGGTGTTGATCGACTCAGAGGTAACCTCTTTACTTCACTTCTTAACAAAATCTGCGAAGTTACTTAGCCTGAAACTTATGTTGGTTTGGTTATATTCTAGGGTTTAGATATATGAGCTATGGTTCCTCCTCTGTTGATTCTAAAGTTTGAATTAAGTCCGAGAGACCAAGAATTATATGAGGTTAGACATTTCAAGCTATTTCTTTCAATATTCAGGGGCAAATCATAGCAAGTTTAAGGTTAAAATCTTCACCTTACTGTAGATGCGATCGGTCAAATGATTAAGCATTCGTCAATAACATCGAAAACCTCGGCAACAAAATGATGGAAGTGTCTATAGTCAACTGGATGATAAATCTCTCAATGAAGGGCAAGCTATCATCCTCACCATTAACTCTGTGTTTGTGGATGAATTTAGAGGTTTTGGACACTTCAAACCATTCCTTTGGTAATTTTGTTTACAAGTTTAAAATTGGAAATTAATTTTCTTATTTCTTTTCTATAAGTGAAGTTTTATTTGTCATCAACAGGAGCGATACTGTTGACGAAACATGGATATTCCATAAGTGCATTATAGGCTACTAACTCAAAATTTCCTGTTTTCATAATTGCTATAATGAGAAGAGTGTAAGGCCTTTTCAAGGTTAGCTTGAGGCAACGTGAGTCCTCACCACTGTTACACGACCTTCTTTTGGTTTACCATTATTATTCACAGCTGGTCTTGATGATATTTAATGGTAGAATGAGCTTTCTTCAAAATGAAACAGGTCTAATAATTAGGAATTATAATGATGTTCCTTTCATATTGGACCTAGACTGTTTGATTCTTGATTATATTAGTCATAATGATGTAGTCAATTAAGTTGAATTGTTATTAAAACCGGTCCTAGCATAATGCAAGCATGTATTTATTAGAGTCTTCTAATTCTTTTTTGATGGGATGCCTACTTTTTTTTTATTTCTTCCTTCCCGCTTTTGTCTGTCATATAAGCATTGCATTGTATGGAAACCTCTATGAATGCACCTGTTTTAATTGTCGAGGTCCCAGCTATTGAGAATCCAAAAATATCCATTGCGCAGCTCAATGAATTAAAAAACAGGAAAGACCACAACATAAGGGTTTTCCAATACAAATGGCAACCTATCAGGATCCCTCTGATTTATCTAACGACAAGTTATCTTTTGAGTGAACTTCAGGAAAAAGGTGTTAAGGCCACAATGGGAAGTTGCTGCTTAATATTCTCTTTTCATCTATGTGATATTTAGTATTCTATTTCTAATTTTCAGTCAGACTGATATTGGAACTCTGTTATAGATTTTCCACTTATGGATTGTCTTTTGTTCAGTTTCAACTATGGATTTCTCATCTAAGAGATAGTTTTTTCCTTATGGATGTCTTCTATTGTTCCTATTATTGAACCTTTGTTTAGGAATCTGCAATCTTTTCTCATACTATATATAGTTTTTTCGTTATGCATTGTTTTCTTTTCTTAAGTTTGGTTCATCACTGCCAAGTTTATCGCATATAAGTTGTGTTTGAATGTAACGCTGTTTGTTATGAATGGAAAGCTGTTGAGAAAGTTTGCTGCTTTTTTTCTATAATTTGATTGTTGTTGTTTTTTTTTTTTTTTGACTTTCTTGCATGTTGTTATGTCGTCTTTATTAGAGCAATTTAAGAATTGGACTTTATGATTATTTTTAACCGAGTATTTATTGGTTATTATTATATGCTTCATCATATTCATATTAAAAACTCAAATGGATGCTTTTATCAGCTGATAGTGTTGTTATAAAGATGCTATTAGAGTTTGTTGTTTTCCACGAAATAGAATCTCTTAGGGCTCGTTTGCTTGTTGGATTTGAAAATGAAGGTTTTGAGTTTTAAAAACCTTTGGATTTATGATAGATTTGTTGCATCATGGATTTGGAAGAGTACATTGTTTGTTAGTTGATTTTTTATCATGGATTTGTGATGGATTTGTCTCACATTTTTTCCTTCTATTGTCAAATCCCAAATGAAATGTGGGATTTACAAATCCGTGGGGTCCACGGATTTGGATCCAAAAAAGGGGGTCCAAATCCGTGGACCCCACGGATTTGTGTCCCTCAACAAACAAAGGATTTGTGTCAACTCCATGATGCTTGGGATTTGGGTTCCAAATCCATCACCCAAATCCCACAAGCAAACGACCCCTTAAGCTACAAATTTGGCTAATCATAACCATAAGCTACAGGTTTTGTAGGACCCCAGCCAACGGGCCGGGCCCAATGCTAGTTATTATTATAAGGTAAAGGATAATTTAGTAATTGAGCTGGTACCCATCCCCGGCTCCTCCCCTCCTCCTTCGCAGTCGCTCGTACTCATCTTCTTCCCCAGAAACGCCGCTGTTTCCAAATATTCACTCCCCAGTCACCATTGCCAATCCACCGACTAGGTTCGCTTCCGTAGTTAGCTTCGAATGGTTTTGGAAAAAATCATGGGCGTTGCCGTGTTTGCTTTGAATGGCTGGGAAGTTATAATTTCAATCTGAATGTTTTTGCAGCCCTTCATTGATTGGTTCTGCAATGAAATGAACACTAGAGTACGTAAAAAGAAGTCGGAAATTGATTGATCTTTGATGCCGCCTTCGTGTTTGCAATCTGTCTTTTCCTGAACGAATGCGAGAGTGAACGAATGAAATTGCCTTTGTGTTGCTAATCTGTTTTTATGTTAGCAAGTTGGTTTTAGTTGAATTTAAATATAAGTTCCTTTCATGTCTCCTTCAGCAAGTTGGTTTTTAGCAGTTAATTGTTTGTTCCTAATGTAATTTTCATTATCATGACTAGTGATTATAGCTATGGTGGTAGAGTTGATGGTAGTGATGAGAATGACAATGATGGTGATGATGAATGCTAGCTTGTTCCTAATTGTTTGTTCCTCGTATTACTGATGAAGCCTGCTGCTAGCATTGTGGAACCTTTGAAGATAAATGGCCGCTCGGTGAAGTAGAGAATGAAAGAGAGCTCAAAGGCAGGACAGGACAGCTTCTCGCGGCTTTCTCAGACCTTTCTTCAGGGCTTGAATCTCAACTTCTCCAACTAACATTTCTCCTGATTCCAGGTTGTAGAGATTTGTTTTGGAAGTGGATGGATGGACCGAACGGTGAATCCAGTACAAGCACCTGCATTTCTAAACGGTTCAGTATTTTATGGATGCCCATCTGCCATATTGAGGTGGGCGCATCCTAAGTGTCGTTCTTGTTTTGGAAAGAGATTGGAGCTTACGAGGAGACGGCTTTTTGCTGCTCGTGGAGCTCGACTCTATTTGCGAGGTTAGTGGTCATTGAAACTTACACTTATGATGTTTGATTAATTGCTCTAGCTAAAATGTGCTGTGAATTCTGAGTCCCAGGTGATTTGGTTGCTGTTGATCGTGTGAAGAAAAGCTCGATTGAATATGAGGTGATTTCAGTGGCTTAGTAGGCTTCAATCAGCGTCTCATTGTGGTTTTAGGTGTGATTCTAATTCGTGCGTGTTTTCGCCCCTTAGACTGGATACTTATGTGAAGGGAAATCGGAGAACTTCCCCCACATACAAACTCTGAAAAATTTCCCAAAGGAAGAGCTGTCTGGTAAAGTTGTCATGGTCAGGTTTGACAGCTCCATTTTACTTGGGGAGAAACTTGACAAGAACTCGCTGGCTGTCTCTAATGCGCTCTTCACAGTTCAGTATTTGCTTGCAACTGCGGAGAAAGTGATTCTTGTGAGTGACTGGAAGAGGGAAGTGAGTTCCAAGCTTCTTGACTCACAGTCTGTTTCAGGTACCTTTAGAGAACTAGCAGCAGTAATATCTTCTTTACAGTTGTCTGAAATCAGGATTCATAAAGTTTTATGTGTTTCTGGATTTTTTTTCTTGATTTCCCAGATATATTATCATCACTTCTCAGGCGAAAAGTTGTTAGTTTGAAATGCCTTTCCTGTGGCGTGCCGTTCAAGAGGGAACTCCTTGAGGAAGCTGATATATTCCTTCTAGAGAATTTATCTGGATTTAGAAAGGAGGTTGCCAACTGTCCAGAATTTTCAGAACTACTCTCTTCGGAAGTTGATGTCTTTGTTAACGACTCCTTTTCCTTGTCTCATAGAGTCCTGGCTTCAACAGTCGGCATTTCTCGTTTTTCACCAGCTTGTGTGGCAGGTTTTCAATTTGAAGAAAGCCTGCGGGAGTTAAAGCGGGTTTTGAACACCGACAAAAGACCATATATTGCAATTGTATGACTTTTCATTTTGCAACCAACTTATACATATCAAGCTTGATCGTATAGGGCGTTCTTGCAAGTTTACTTGTTTTGTATTACATTGTTCGCTTAACTTGCTTTCTCTTTAGTGGTTCAGATTGGAGGGGCTAATATCCACGGAAAAGCAGCTGCCTTGAAACGTTTGGTTTCTGAATGTGATGGAGTAGTCTTTGTTGGAATGATGTCGCTGCAAATTATGCATGCGTTGGAATATTCAATCCCTTCAACTCTTCTTGAACCCAGGTCATCTGATGCAGCTGTAGAAGTTATCCAATCTGCTCGATATAGAAAGATTCCAATTATAACGCCGAAAGATTTTTGGTGCATAAATGATAGTCCAGGATATCAAATTGAAGTAATTCCTGCTCATCGACTGGGAGAAGGTGAATGTTCAACACTGGAATATAACTTGCTTTACATTCTTCTGTTTTCTTCATCTGTTAGGAACTTTCTTCTTTTAACTGTTGCTTGGGCTTGTGCAAACTGTTAGTCGTCCTAGATGAACTAGGCCTCAAAATAGAAACTATTTATTACGGAGACCAACTATGTATAAGCATTTCTATTACTCTAGTTTCTTGTATAGGTGATAAGCAAGCCGGCCGTGCATTTTTGTTTCTTCAGATTTGTGGTATGTTGTTGCGTATTGGCAGCACTACATCTGATGAAGGGGCCGGTAAATAGAGCTGGCTAATTGTATGGCTGTGGTTGGCAACAAATTTCTCTATCTGTTTCATGCTATTGAATACAGGTCTCAACATCGATAATGATATCTTGAGAAATAAAAGCGTGGTGCTTTTTTAACGAACTACTCATGTGCAGTTGGCGTAATTGCCCACTAAAATATTTAATCTTCAAAGCTGTGCATTAATGTCCTTAACCCTAATAATTTTTCATGTTAGGTTGGGTGCCTGTTGATCTTGGGCCTAGGTCTCTTGATGAAATGGACTCTTTGCTTTCAAGTTGCAAGGTAAACAACGGAAGTCTGCAGATAAGTAGATAATATCATTGTGTGATGGGGAAACCATAGCCTACTGAGTTTGTTTATTCTTGTCATGTAAGCATATGGTTTTGCTTGATTTTATCAGTCCTCCTTTCTGTCTCTTCAAGCTCATAACTTATCTTTCCCTGACTCTTATGTTTTCAGAAAGTAATATGGATTGGACCAGTGAAATTCAAGTCTTCACATTCAAGTATTTGTACAGATGGAGCATCTAAAGTGGCTCAAATAGTAGATAGGTTGGCACAACGGAATTGTGAGATAGCAATTGTGGGGAATAAAGCATGCAGCACTATGATAAAGGAATCAAGGTCTTCAGCCAGTTGTTCTGTCATTGAGAATGCTTCAGTTGTATGGGAGGTTTTAAAAGGAAGGAAGCTTCCTGGGTTGTTGGCCTTAGACAGAGTATGCCTCCTAATTTTCTATGTTACTCCACACAATGAGTATTGAATTGGAAATAGGATAACATATGATATAAGATTGGTAAAAGAGCAGTAGTTGGTTTGGCATATATGGAATATAATTGTTGGTTTTCTGCAAGCTATGTAAAATAATTGTCGGTATTTTTTTGTGTGGCAATATTCTTTGTGCTTTCATATCTGATGACTGATAATGGAAAAATGCGTGTCATGAAACTGAAAGTCTATCCTTTTCCTTTTCTTGTCCATTTTTCTGACCACTGTATCATTAATTATTGCTTGAAGGGGTAAACATTTTAGAGGATTTTGCCCTTTCTGTTTTTGGTCACGCGCGGCTCATTGATGCTTTTTTCAGGCATTCCCATTCAAGATTGATTGGACAATGGCTTATCGTAATCCTGCTCAACCTTTGGTAGTTGACATTGGAAGTGGTACGCCATCCTCTTGTACCTTCACGATGTATTAGTTCATATTACTTCCAGATGCAAAACTGTCTTAGCTCTAAGAAAAATGCTATTTTCTTATGAGGAAATAAATCTCAAAGAGTAGTAGTGAAGCATTAACTTGAGATTATTGTGGAATATACAAGTGATAACTGTAGTCTTCGCCGTCTGGAGACCTCTGTGACGAGTTTCACTTAACTTGAAATGGAAATGAAAATGAAAATGGCACAGAGAAGTATGCTATTATGGTTTGTACTAAGATTTGATCTAATGGTAGGAAACGGACTGTTCCTTTTCGGGATGGCTTCAAGAAGGAAGGACCAAAACTTCCTTGGCTTAGAGGTTAATAAAAAGGTTTGTTCTTACTTTTTATTCAAGGTTGCTCTTGTTCTTTTTTGGCGTAAGACTCTTCTTACTTCTTGGTGTCATACCCTTGTCAGCTTGTTAGGCGTTGCCTGGATGGTGTTCATCAATCTGGGATTCCGAACGGGTAGCGTAACTCTTTCTACATTTACATCTACAACATGTTGATCCAAGAGTCATGTTAATGATTTTCATTTTTCACCTGCAAATAATTGCATTAGAGTTTTGTTCCCTCAGATACACAAGTTTCTTCTCTTTTTTCTTCCATTGTTGTGCTAGGTTCTTCATTGCCACAAATGCAACTTCGACATTTCGCTCCATTGTATCAAGCTATCCAGGAGAAGTAGTGCTAGTGTCAATACAGGTAATAGAAAAACTACCTTTCTGCCAGCCAGTAAAATCATCCGTGTCCTAAACATCAACCTATGTACAAGTTTTCACGAACTTCCTCATGAACTTCAAATTTGCTAATCACTCTGCAGTGTCCAAACCCTGACTTCAACAATCCAGAGCAGAGATGGAGAATGGTGAATAGAACATTAGTTGAAGCAGTGGTTGAACTCCTTGCATATAATGGAAAGGTAAAACATTGGATTTATCATTTATCAATCTCTTAACTCGCATATCTGCTGTTGCCATTGCTATGATTCATCAGTGTCTGTCTTTTTGTTTTGGTCGTCCAAGGTGTTCCTTCAATCGGACATAGAGACAGTTGTGTTGAGAATGACAGACATGTTCCTTAGACACAGCAAGGGTAAGCTCAGCATTGTACGTGATGGAACAACCAAGTCGAGGCAACAAGGGTCTTGGCTTCACGAGAACCCTTTTGGAGTTAGATCGGATTGGGAACAGCACGTTTTGGATCGTGGCGATCCCATGTACAGACTAATGCTCTGCAAATCAGCGACAAGCTGAATGTGTCAACTTCCATGGAGATTGTTGTAGCTAAAAGATAATAGTAGCTTCATGTATCCGAGGGATCTATCGGCTTTTGAGTAGTTGAGTTCCTGTGCTTTGAGCTGAAAAGGTAAAGCATATGCTTAAGGTAATCCTATTACCTGTTAGTAAATTAGGTGGTGTTAGTAAATTAGGTGGTTAATGAGGAGTTATTTGTTAATAGATAGTTAGGGATATTTAGCTGCTTGTCGTTTGTTCCACCAATCGATCTTCTTCTGGACGGACGGCGTCCAAGGATTGAAAAGGGTGATCGACCTTCTTCACGTTTCGTTCCGCCGATCAACGTTCTTCCCGTTGTTACTAGGTAATTAAGTTGCTAACGCTAAAGTTTGTACGATTATAGGATTTCGGGGTTTTTGGCATGCTTAGTGTTTTGTTTACCTACGTTTTGTCATTTAATTGTTAATGATTTGGAAGGGTCTGATTAACTTGTTATAATGTCATTATTATCAACGGTTTTGTTATAATTTAGTGGGGTCTTATGAACGATGTCATTAATGAATTTTAGGCTTCTTATTAACGTGCTTAGGATTTTTTTTTACTGCCTAGGGCTTCTGAATCGTTATTTGTCGTCCTAAAATTTAAATTTTATCGCCCTAAAACACAATAAATTAACATATTTACCTCTCAACTCAATTTCAATTCTAAACTCTAATCAAACAAAAAAAAATATGTTAATTTAAAAATGTGGATACTATCCAAACCCCATTGCTAACCATCCAAATCCAATAATGAATGGTAGTGTCCAATATCATGGATACCATCCAAACCCCATTATGAATGGTAGTATCCAACATCATGGTTCATGGACACCATCCAAACTTAAAGTGGTGGTGCCATGCAACAAAATGAATACCATCCATGTTTTGGTGTATGGTGACCATCTAGTTGTTCATCCATGGTACATAGGGTTGATTGTCCAGCAACAGCTGACTTGAAAAGGATGCTCGTAGGAGTTACTGGATGCTACATGGAGTTGATTTCGAGGAAGAGAGAGAGAGAAGGCGGTTAGAGGGTGCATTGATCACGCGAAATTCCGTCTGAAACAAGCAGTGTGCCATCGTGGTCTTTCCTCTCACAGTAAGCTTCGTGTCGGGTAATGGCAGCGGGCGGCGCCACAGTAAGCTTCGTTATCAGATGGCAGGAGACCAACAAGATGGTGGGATGGCGGCAACGCATGCAGTAAGACTCATCTTCGGATGGTGGAGAATCGGTCAGATGTGGTGACGGTCATTGCTAAGTTCACGGCCTCTTTTGGGAGAGTTCACCACCGTGAACTTTGAAAGTGTCACGTCCTCTCTATGTTGTGTCATTCTAACATGTTCAAACTTGGAGATCATGGCCTGGAGTTCACGGGCGTGATCTTTTTTCGAAGTCGTGATCTCTAACTTGCAGTCTCGAACTAAAGGACCGTGAATAGGACCTAGAGATCTTCTGTTCCTCTTGGCACCGGCTTGCCAAAGTTCACAGCCTCAGAACTGAGATTCCAACCGTGAACTCTGAGAAATCTTATGATATCTTTAAGATCATAATTAACATGGTGTTCCCATAATATGGAAGATTGCCATGCAATGTTGGTACTATTGAGCGCCATCTCTTCAATCGACTGATGCATTTGTTATATAGTTTTATTGCACATCACCCCTCCACCAACTGCATCAATTATATGCTTAAAATCTCAGGTGAGCCCATTATAAAACGTATCTATAGCTAGTTTGCTACCCATGGCGGGGGCACCTTGATAAAAAAATGTAAAATGTTTGCTTTGCATGAAAATTTACTCTCTTATATGGGAGAGAGTGTTTGTTTGAGTAGGTGAGTTAGAAAGAAAAGGCGGAAAGAAAAAACGATATACTGTTTTGAGTAAAACAATTCATTAGAGCATCACATCAATATTGCAATTGCATACGTGGTTTCTGACCTGTTGCATATGCGACTTTGTTGTCACCTCATCAATTTCGACAATCCAATTCAAATCATCAAAATGTACATACATCAATCCAATTCTCTTACCATCGCAATTAGTAAGCTCAACTATTTTTCATAATAGATAAAAGAAAAAAGAAAATTCCACAAAAGGAGTCCATCATCACCTTTTTTAGACAATTTTGAATGAAGCTATTATGAACATGGTAGTTTGAAAAACGTCTATGGTCGGACTCGGAAGGACCAAAGACGCAATATCCATTATAGTTGAAGGGCTTACTTAAAGAAAATACATTATCTTATGGACTAGTTACAAGTATATGTATAATCTATGCATTAGCTAGGTAGCTGCTGCCTAGCTCGTAAGATTGAACAGGAGATCGATCAATTTTTCATCAATAATTCAAAGGGTAAGTCATCATAAATTAATGGGTGTAGAAATTAAAAGTGAGTGGAGGAGGTTGGGAACGGGATCAGCTGTTCTGTTCTGTTCTGTTGAATTGGTGTACTACTGTAGTCAAACAATGTGGGCAGCTAGCAGATTGCTAGGCTAGCTGCAGGGCCAACTTATTGTTGTTTCTGGCCGAAATAATTATAGCTAGTTTTGCTGAGAGGTGAAAAATAGAGACATCTCTGGGTCCATATTATACATAAGGAAAAGTGTTGAAACTGGGAAATGCTAGCTAGCTAGCTGCACCCACAACCCTGACAATGTGGGGGTTCCCAATCGTGCTACGGTTCCATAACCTAATAGTAATGTGTTGAGTTGAGAGCAGTGGTATAGAAAGTATTCTACCTTACGCCCTGATCGAAAATACCGGACATCGAATCTTAAAAGGTATGTCGTTTTAGCAGCATGAAACGTTTGAACTAATTAAACCACGATTTTAGTACAAAATACCTTATCATTGACCTTTTCGATATAGACTCTGATATAATTTTACAATCTTTGGTGGAGAGAGATTCAAGTATGAATTTTATTTTTCCACATTTTCAAACAAAAATTAACTTTTAAACTTTAAATTTGTGATAGACCGCCACCATACGTGTGTCTTGAATTAACGAATAATATTGGTGTTCGAAAAGATAGCAACACAAATTTCTCAATCAAATATTCTGATAGCATGTTGAAAATCAATACATCCATACTTTTACAAACCTAATGTGGAAGGAAAAAAAACTTAGTATGTAGTTGCTGAAAATGTTAAATTCATGGAAAGAATTAATAAATAGGGTAATGTTTATTTTTTATCCAAACCTTTTTAAGATTCTTTTATATTATCTAAACCTATTAAAATACTATTAATTAACCAAATCTTTCATAATGCATCAAAATATTAGTAATTTTTTTACGTCATCGTCAATAATTTTGCAACTCTTTTCTTAGTTAAAATACTAAAATTTTGGAATGTTGACCTCCATGCATATCCTCCAAGTCAGTATCATGTTTGTCAAGTCAATATAACTAACAAAATTGCTAACGGGAAGTTAACGTTTGGCTAATTCTCAATATTTCGATAAATTTGCATTTTTTACTAATAAAAAAGAATCCGAAAAAAGTTTGACTAATAAATAGTCATTAACCTAATAAATATTTAATAGATAGGAAAACCACAGCCACTCTCTCTCCCTCCTCATCTGGGCTATAAATAGTACACCATCGCTAAAGCTTACCAGTCCCTGCCACTACCTGCTTCACCTTTATGCTTCCTTTTTAGCTATATATGTGCACTACATCTTTCACTACATAACATAACCACACAGCTTGATTGCTGCAATTCCCTTGATTGATCATATGATCATTACTGTGTAAGCTAGGCACAGTCTTCGATCATGGCGGATGGATTCAGGGAAGATCACGAGAATATTACTATTGGAAGTTTGAAGAGCAGGCAGCAAGGGAAACTACAAGTAGAAGGTGAAGAAGCAGATCGATCCTTGGGGGAGAAATGCAGCCATCTGGTGAAGAAGCAGCGGGCCAAATTCTACATCCTTCGCCGCTGTATTGCGTTGCTTCTTTGCTGGAAAGACCGTGACCGCTAAGCTAATTAATTAACTCGCTCTATACCTTTGTCCTTTTTTATCCACTTTTATATTTTTATTCCTGCACCTAGCTAGCTTCTCCTTAATTTTCCCCTTAATTAACCTTCGTTATTTCTACATTAGTATTCATCATCATCATCATCATCATCCCATTTTGTTCGGTATTTGCACCACCTCTTTTTTTTGGATGTACCCTTCTCGCTATTATTGTGTAATTTCGACTTGTAAGACAAACGTAATCAGTGTACGTCTTGTGGGGTGCTCACTAGCTAGCTAGTACTACATCAGAACATTAAATAATTATCTTTTTCCGACGCACCTAGAGCTGCAAGGTGAGACATGGAGGTAGACTAGGGAGAGAAAAGGAGAAGACAAGTCAGATCAGGATCGGATCCGGCCTCCATCAGATCTTAGAACGGAATCTAACATCGCTGAGGATTTGATTCACCAGATCGGAGGAAATTAAAAAAGCTCAACCCGGCCACCAGACGAGGAGGAAAGGAAACTCAAAAAAGGGAAAGACAACCGAGAAATGGATGGAAAGAGCAGGAAGGCAAAGAGGGGCGGAAGTTTCAAATTAATCTATTCAGTCAAAATTGAACTTTAAGTCGTAAAAAAACATACATTTTTACGTATTTATGCCACTACAACGATTCAATTTCCACTTAAAATCGTTTAGTTCACAAAATTGTTCAAAATCGTACGTAAAAGCGTTGAAATGGGGGCCTTTTATAAGGTGTTTCCACCTTTCTATTTGTTTCATATGTGTGTAAGTGTTCATGTACGTGCAATAGTTGCAATAGTCTTCAGAACTCTGATCGTGGATCACAGGCAGCTACTGTAATGGCCTCTCTCTCTCTCTCTCTCTCTCTCTCTCTCTAGTCTCTACTGTTTCTAGTGTATGAATTTGTATGTATATGGCTGTGTCTATATTGGGCTCCTCTTTGAACAGTTCAGTACGTATCACTGAGAAAACACACACGCGCACTCATTTCACACCTAATTTCATCCTTCTCCGTCGTATCTCATGAATTTACCACCACGTCGTCCAAATGTTCATCAAATCACGAAAGTTCCTAGCTACTGTGCATGCAACCGACCAGTTCTGCAGGTTTCACGTTATATATCGTACGTACCTACTTACCCTTTTCATGACTTTGTGAACACTAATGAAATGCACGTACATCAGCTACAGGGCTAAGGGTTGGCGGTGGGGGAGGGGCACTGCCAAACACGTGCAGTCCTGACAAAGGTTCAAGGAAAGAAGAAGAAGACGAAGAAGAAGAAACACTCTCATGAGAATGGAGAAGTGAGTGTGTGACTGTCTTTTTCTCGTTCTTCATTATCAAACCTTTCACTGTTCGTCGAAAGTAAGAAATGGCGGAACTCTGTAAGCTGCTGCAGCTGAACTGGACCCTTTACGCGTGGATCCACACGTGAGGATCACAACTGTAGCCAGTCAAATCTAAGGAATTGTGTGTTGATTCTGAGATGAGTATTGACTCTTTGTGAGCTGTCAGTCGTTTTCTTTTCATTTCTTATACCAATTCATGCTTTTGGTTCAGATGCACACGTTGTGCATCACTTCCTTTGTTAATCACTGTTTATATAGTTTATTATACTTTTCCAGTATGCTCTGACACTAACTTAGAATTTGTGATTGCCTATAAAAAAAAACTTAGATTTTGTGATTATTTGTGACAAGCCATCAAATCGATCCTGAGATGCCTCTTAAACACTATTGAATCCTCCTCCTATATAGAAACCAATACCTGAAGCTTGCTCTCAAGTTTTAAAGCATCATCATCCCCGATACCCATATTCTGAATTATCAACAACCTGAGAAAGCTCTACGCAAAATCAAAAGATATCCCCGGGGGAAGTTTATGCTACAACACGAAAAATAAACAGAATGGTTCCATGTAGATCCTGGATGGATGGAACTAACATATCACAGATTTCGAGATAATAAAACTTATCAACTGTAAAGATCATCTTCATCGGCAGCAGCAGCAGTTGCAAATGGATCAGACGCCGCAGCGGCAGCTCCACCGCTGGTTTCAGAGAATCTGAACTCGGATCCAAACCCTCTGGACTGCTGCAATGTCTGTGCAAAAGCTTGGTACTTCCGGATGTCGGCATCGCTCACACTCCTGCGAGCATACTTCATCGACTCCTCAAAGTGTGCCGCCTTGATTTCAGCAACCTCATCCTCAACCTCATCTTCTTCCATTGCTTCAGGATTATCTCTCCTTCTCCTTTCCCTCTCAATGTCCTGGAAAAGATGCATGGAAAGGCAGCCATTGGTTTATATGTGCTACTTGGCAAGGTAAAATAATGGGTGGACATGGAAGAAAGTTTTTACCTTCTCAATGTTCTCCCTGATGGCATACTTGCAAGCACGCTGGCAAATTTCAGTGATGTCAGCACCACTGAAGCCTTGAGTATACTTGGCTAGAGCTCTGAGGTCGACATCTTTGGAGACTGGAGATTTCCTCAAGCAGGCCTTGAAAATTTGAAGACGTGACTCCTCATCAGGCAAGGGTATATATATCAATTGATCAAGACGTCCGGGACGCAAGAGTGCAGGGTCAATGATGTCTGGTCTGTTCGTTGCACCAATTATAAAAACGGTTTTTTTTGCAGACATGCCATCCATCTCTGTCAGAAGCTGATTCAAGACCCTATCAGCAGCACCTCCAGCATCTCCAACGCTGCTCCCTCTCTGCACAAAACAGAGGCAATTAAAATTGCCATCTAAAATGTGCAGTTTATAAACTGGGACGGATAAAAAGCTTGCAGCGTGTGTATGAGTCAAACCTGGGTAGCAATGGAGTCAAGTTCGTCAAAGAAGAGCACACATGGAGCAGAACCGCGAGCCTTGTCAAAAATCTCTCTAACATTGGCCTCACTCTCACCAAACCACATTGTAAGCAATTCAGGACCCTTCACACTGATGAAGTTTGCCTGGCACTCATTGGCAATTGCTTTAGCCAGCAAGGTTTTGCCACAGCCAGGAGGGCCATAGAAGAGCACCCCTTTTGAGGGTGACATCCCAAACTTCTCGAATTTCTCAGGGTGCTCCACTGGATATTGAACAGTCTGCCAAAGACATTATGGAAAAAACTTTAGCCACAAAAAGAGCAAGAGAAACCAAGTATTTTTCGCATTCCACATTCACAACATTGACAGGATATAGTTGATGACAAATACCTCTTGAAGTTCCCGCTTAACATTCTCCAGGCCTCCAATATCCTCCCAACTACAATTAGGAACCTCGACAACCTGTTCCGGTAATTATTTATCAGAGGTCAATCGAAACAAGGGGGTACACAGTTAACAAGTAAAGTGGTCAAAAACATTGCAACACTCACAGTTTCACGCAATGCAGACGGGTTGCTTGTTCCAAGTGCAGTTGCGAAGTGCTCATTGGAAACTGCCATGGAGTTTAGTATTTCAGCATCTATAGATTCATCTTCCAAGTCAATTACATCCATCTTCTCCCTAATGCACTGAAGAGCAGCTTCAGTGCAGAGAGCAGCCAAGTCAGCACCAACATATCCATGTGTGTCCTTTGAAATCCTTTCTAGATCAACCTGTACATTACAAGAGCTTTTAAGAATCAACGAATACTGCAATCCAAATAAAAGAAGAGCAGTTATATTTGAAATCCAAGCAACTTACATCTTCAGCTAGTTTCATATTCTTAGTATGAATGCGGAGCACCTCCAGACGGCCAACCTCATCCGGGACACCAATATCAATCTCCCTATCAAATCTTCCAAACCTTCTAAGGGCTGGGTCAATGCTATTGGGACGGTTAGTAGCTCCCATGACAATAACGTGTGCACGGGATTTCAGTCCATCCATCAATGTCAACAGCTGGGAGACAATCCTTCTCTCAACTTCACCATTTGTTTTCTCTCGCTTGGGAGCAATTGAATCAATCTCGTCAATGAAAATAATAGATGGTGCATTCTTCTCTGCTTCCTCAAAAGCTTTCCTCAGGTTGCTTTCACTCTCACCAGCCAATTTTGACATGATCTCCGGTCCATTGATACAGAAGAAGAACGCGCCAGTTTCATTCGCAACAGCACGGGCAATAAGAGTTTTACCAGAACCAGGAGGCCCGTACAGCAGGATACCCTTCGGTGGCTTCACACCAATCGATTTGAATAACTGTGGATGCCTCAATGGAAGCTCCACCAACTCACGAATTTGAGCCATTTGCTTCCTGACCCCACCAACATCATCATAACCGACTTCATCCAATCGATTCTCATCTTCTCGTCTCACAGGCTCTCCCTCACAGAAAATCTCGGTGTCCGGAGCAACCACACAGTACTCTGCTGGATCAGTCTCAATAACTTTGAACTCCACACTCCTCATTCCTCCTCTCACAAGGAAAAGATCACCCTTGCGAACAGGGCGATAAGCCTCCAAGAAATACGCTGCAGTATTCAAATCAGTAAATCAACAAACATTGTATAGAGCAAAAAGAATGCACGAGATCATCAATCAGTAAGACAGTTGATTTTCATACATCCATAATAAGTGCTGAGCACAAGCAACAAATTTACAAAAGAGGGATTTCCAACTGAACACATACACAAAATATTTGTTTTTCATTAGCTCCAAAATTTTGAGCTTTCTTTCGAAAGACCACAGTTTTAGCAGTAACAGAACATATGGATAATGCTTCATCAAAGACACAAGAAGAGACTGAGGAAAAGCTTATGATTATTGTGATCAAACTGAAACACACAAATTCAGTAAAAAGATCAGAGAACTCCTAGTGCAGATAACTACAACCATCACAATCAAAATTGGACAGTATATATCTTGAATACCAAAGGACCACATGCTCAGAGCTTACGTTTCAAATATGCATCAAAAAGATTTCCAGTGACCCCTTCAATTGAATCATCAATGGGTAGAATGTGAACACGCTTTCCATACTTGACATCAGGGCATTGGTGAACAGACACAACGTCTCCAAGTCTAACCCTGAGGTTTGACCTAACAACCTTGTTCATCCTAATCTTTGGCTCGTCGCATGTCTCATCAGCAAGGGCAATGCAGATGGTATCTTTTCTCTTCTTTCCCTGAACTCCAACAATAGAAACAAGTAAGCCCAGAAGATCGAACACGGGTTGGACTCTGAACCAGCTACTCGCATCAGTAGCAGAAAACATTAAGATACGAGTTCCCGGCATTGGCCAAAAGAGCAAGTAGGCTCAACTTTTAACGCAGAAAGATAAACAAAAAACTTTTGTCAATCATTAAGCACTTCAGGGGAACTTCTATCGCTTTCTGAGAACCACAGCAGGAAAAATAACCAAGGCTATTTTTATGCAGCAGAATCCAACAAACAGAGGATATAAACTCAGTTCAATAACCATAACACCCAGGTGAAACAGCCAACACATCCCCGAAGGAGATCAGTAAAACCTAGATGAGCAAGGGCCAAATTGCAAACCATAGTTCCCAACAACCATAAATCCTCAATCCAGCCCCTCAATTGCAAGAACCACAAAAGAAAAATGTAGCGGAAGATCAAAAGTCAGCAAGCTATAACCTTTATCAAGATGGTATCACCGCGGAAAAGCTGTAGCTTCTCCATGGTGTCGGGATGGAGAGCGACGACGGAGTTGTCATCGTTGACAGCCTCGTCGACTACCAAGCGGTTGGCAGCCTTCTTGCGCTCCAAAATCGCGGTACTGAAGTCCCTTTTTGTTCCCTTACTGCAACAACAACAACAACATCGAGAGCCATTAAACCACTGAGATCAAATCAACCAGCTATCGCACCCACACACGGAAACACAACAATGGCGAGAGGCGGAATTGTAGATCTGAAGCCAAAAAATAAAAAATAAAGAGGGTACTAACGAATCGGAGGATTCAGCTTGGTTCGACATGGTCGAGAGAGATGCAGATACTTGGAAAGGAGATTGATTTGGTTGGGCGCAACAATTTGAGAGAGTTTTGGGTGAGGAATTCGGGATCTCAAGTTAAAGAAATCGGACGGGCTGTTCCGGAGTATTTATAGACGTAGGAGTTAAAATGAGTATTAGCTTCGTTTCTTGTTTCAAAAGAAAAGATTTCTCTGTTTTCTTTTTAGACTCGTGATCGTTAGTTCCTTTTTTTTTCCTTTTCCTCTCCGCTCTAAGAATCCTCTCGCAGTAAGGATTTCTCTGTTCTAGAATGTTCCTCAGCGAGAAGAAAGACGATTAACCCATAGCAAAAGCAAACCATTGCTCCACGACCCAACCACTAAATATGTATTCTCTTCATCACGAAAACGGAATAAAGGTTTGGACTTTATGACTCCACAAACAACATTGACAACGTAGGAATTCTCGTTGGGTCCCAAATTGCGCTCTCTATATCAAAGTAGATGCTTCAAAAGCCGGTACAACCAGAGCCATTAGCTATGAACATGCAGAAAAAAACATGTACAGAAGGTATAAGTAAATAGCTACACAGAGTGTTTGATAAGATGCTAGTTCTCTTCTTATGTCTTTACATGATCATGTTCATTCTTCCCCATTTTCAAACAAGCAAATCTGTGTAGGCATCTAGTCCATGGCTGCCCAGGCACTGCCTGAGCTTATTAAGCGAACGGCTCTCCAGCTGGCGCACCCTTTCCTTGCACAACCCATACATGTTACCAATCTCCAACAACGACACCCTTTTGCCGTCGTCGATGCCAAATCTCAGCTTGATGATCTGCCTCTCCCTTGGGCTCAGAATCGTTAGTAGGCCACGAATGTGCCGCCTCATCAGCTGCTTCGCCACCTCCAACTCTGGTGTCATGACCCCCTGATCTGCAGTAATTTCCTGCAGGAGTTGGAGCATTATTGCACATCTTTTACACTTTCTCCATCCTCAAAAGGCAATGAGAGATATGGAAAGGGTGTTTATTTACTTGGAAAGTAGTGTCTTGATCCGTCCAAACAGTCTGTTGCATTGAGATTGGTATTCTTGCAGCAAACTGCAACTTCTCCAACTTTTCAACAGTGATTCCAGCCTTTCTTGCAATATCTTCTTTGCTAGGATCATGATTGCCTTCCCTATTACAGCCTCTCTTGGCTTCTATTACCTTTCCAAGTAGCGCATACAAGTTATCCTGCAAAAAGCAAACTTGTCTTAAAACGGGATGGGAAAACCTCTTGCTTATAAAACATCCCCTTCATACATGTTCTTCAGGGGTCGTTTGGATTCAAACGGATCAATTTGACCCAATTGTTTCGTTTTGAGACAATTTGGTAAATTAATCGTTTGGTCACACAAAATTTAGATGAAGCAATTCTGTCTGGAGAATTTCAAATTGACTCGTTTTAAGGCAATTACAATTGTCTAGGGTGAGGGCAGACTATTCGTATAAGCTCGTTTTAAATTACTCGTTTTGTAAAATGAAACAATTCTCCAAATTGTCTCGTTTTTCAATTGAATAAAAGGTAAACCCAAACGACTTGAGGAAAAGACAATGATATTAAAGGCAGATTGTCAATACCGGTAAGCGAATTGTCCTAGAATGCTGATATATGGCTTTTCTAATAGTTTGCCTTATCCACCAATAAGCATAAGAAGGAAAGCGACAACCAGCTTGAGGTTTGAACTTCTCAATGCTCCTCATGAGACCAATACTTCCCTCCTGCAACAAAGACCATGCACATATCTGAGCTCCACAAATCAAAATCATCACACGTCCAAACAATAGAGTAACTTTTAAGTGTACCACTAAGCAAATAGGTTGCAGTTGACCTGCAGCAAGTCCTGGAGACCAAGACCACGTCCTTGATATTGTTTGGCAATATGAACAACCATCCTCAAATTCCCATTAATCAGCTTCTCTCTGCAGCTTGTACCAGAGTGAAGTCGTGACTTCAAGACAAAACGACTCAGCCCTACAGCTTCAGCCCATTCAGAAAATGTTGGTTCACGGCCAAACTGAGATTGAAGCCTGCTCTTCACCTCTTCCAACTTCATCATTTCCTGCCACATATTACCATGTAAAATTAAAAAAGACACTATAATGCCTAACAATATGACCAGTCTTGGATTCTGAATCACTAAATCCAAAACATATCCCAAATGTCAAATTCTATTGTAACTAGAGATAAACCTGAACTTGGATGACAATGTTAGATTCCTCCTCAGCTGTCAAAAGTTGTTTTGTCTCAGGAGCAGCCAAGAATAATCGAACAGGATCATTGAGCTGGAAAGCTTCATTTGTCCTTTTCTGTACATTATTAGGCTTCCTAGAACTTGGAGTCTGATCAAATGCATACTTAGTTCGTGACATTCTTCGACTCTTGGAAGGCCTCTCTGAACGGCGAGTGGACCTAACTATTTTCACCTCATCGGCTGCAAATCCAGATGAAGTAGGGGATTTCAAGCTGCAAAAGGCTCTAGAAATCAGTTCTACAGCTATAGATGACAGTAACAAAATGGCATAATCAAGGAAACAAGAACATGATACAAACCTGGCGGCACTATCAACATCGGTGCTGTTTTCAGCTAACAATGCTGCTTCTTTTGAGGCACTTAAAGCTTCCTTCGCTAGATCGATTGCACTGCATGGTCCAATAGCTGGCTCTGGTGACAACCGATTTCTCCCCGCTCGTATACATGGCTCTCTTCAACATGTCAGTACCACCACATAAACAATGTCATTTAGTATCCATGTCCCAATCAATAAATTTACGATTTTGGGTACCGAAAAAAAGCCATGGTTACAGTACAGTTCTTACGCATTCCAAAAAGAATGACTGTGAAGCAGCTGTTGCTCTAAGTCCCGCACCAATTTGTCTACATCATCTGAATTCTCCCCTTCATGGATCCAAGTCCCAATATCAGTCTGTCTTCCGTCCGTCAATGCCTTCAAGGAAAGAAAGAGAGAATGTGTTCTTCTGAGGAGCCAGACACGGTGGTTTAATCTTAAAGTACAGTAATATCAAACACCACCACCCATTACCAAACACCCATGTCAATCTTCTAACTAGAACATTGGCATCTCTAAAAGCCCAAACCAATTGTAGAATGTTCACAACTTGGCAATACCTTCCAGAAGGCTTTAGCTAAGCTCAAGAGCATACACATAGGGCGACATTTTAGTTATGGGGGCACCTATTGTGTTAACAAGGAAAGATTCAGAAACCTGAGATGTCGGTTCATCCTTGGACGAGTTGAGGAGAGGCCAATACTCATCGCGCTGCTCTTGTAAAAGCGCAGAGGTAGGCAGATGTCGAGCGGTGGAAGTGGAAGGAACCGTAGAAGCTAAGGGGGCAACGTGCTCGTGTAGCATCAACACTGCAGAATTTCAACCATAGTCGTGCATTACTTTCAATATTAGCAGTCGTTTACCCTCTCCATACATTCAACAAAGCGAATTCAGTAGGGTCACCTGAAGAAGAGACGGAGCTTTTCGATTGGATTCTTGCAGGGAAGGGCGGTGGTGAAGAAAGCAAAGTTCTTGAAGCGTCCATTTTGATAGAATTCCCCGAGGCTCATAAACCCAAACCGGCCTCCTTTATCATCTGGAGAAACCAATTCCTTTGCTCCGGTGCCGGGGTGTTCTCTAAATTGCAGGATTGAGTTGGGAATGTGTCAGAGAAGAGAGTGAGAGGGTCTGTGCTGCGTATTGCAGCAGAGTGTAGATAAGGGGGAAATGAAATAGAGGAAGGTTGGAGACTTGAAAGATCTTTTAACTTTGACATGGCACATCGAGCAACCGTAGAAATGGGAACCAGATTTTGCTCCGAGTGGATGAGGTTTTGCCGTTTTGGCTTTTTAAACTCTGGCGCAACACTAATTTTATCAACATGTCTTTTTTTTTTTTAATAACCTACATCCTCGCGAATACATCTTTTGAATGATGGCGGAGTGAGATCAAATTTAAAATTTATCGGTTTGAGATCTTTGGGAACTCTAAGAGAATTTAAATATATCTTTAACAAAATACGAATTTAGTGTCTACGGTCTACCCGTTGATCGGAAAATCACTTAAAAAAATGTATTTATAATGTGTATCTTAATTTTTTAAAATTACTACATAATAATTAACTCAAGTCTGGCCTTTGATGAAGCATGAGCTCTATTGAGTGTACGTGATGGCAAATCAATGAGCTTTTGGGGCGACATGCTAGTCGGTTGAACTCGGATAAACATCTTTTGCCGCCTTAGGATATCAATCTCCAGACTACGAGAACAACATCATCGTTGGGACTGATTGACTACAATTAATACGAATTGATCACTAAGAAAACCAAGGTCTTGGGCGGTAGCAGGTGGTGTGCTTCGAGATATGAATTTATCATATTATAGAATACCAAGTTAATTTTTTTGGGTTTGTGATTGAAATTGATTTTTTAATAGTATTCAGTGTTCGAGATTGGAATTGATATATACCAAAATATCGAATAATACCAAAATTTTAAACATGATGTATAGTGAATCTTCCATTAACTTAATGAGCATCAACCCCCTCTCAAATAAATAAAGGTCACTGTTCACCCTTAACCAAAATTTATAATTATTTATGTGATTGTAACTTTGTAAGAAGTGACTAATTCTTATTGAATTGTATTTATGCTGATGAAGTATTTTAGAAGAATGAATTGCTTAGTTGCATTGATGAATTATTAAAGTGAAACTAAATTTAGATTTAGACAATTATGAGTGATTTATAATATTGAAGTATAAATTTAGTCCATTGTACACAATAATCCACTATTTGTATACACAATTAGAAAGCTTTTAATATTTTACGTTAAGCTGAAACTACCTTATTATTATTTGTCCATTTGATTATTGAATATGACGAGATTAAATTTAGTATTTGTTATGTATTGATACGGTATTGAAATATTTCAAATTAAGATTGATTTTGGTATTATTTAGTATTTAAGAATGGATTAGTTTCTAACCCTTATGGGATTAGCACCGTGCTAATTAAGCTCACAACCATTATATTAAAAATAATCCTAGCATCAGAATTAATGGAGGATAGTTTAGTCAATACCCACTCATACCCTAATATAAATAGTTATTTTTCACCTTTCATTCCATCCGTTGTCGCACTCTCTCTCTCTCTCTCAATGAAATCGTCTTCTTCTCTCTCCTTGAAGCAACCACATCTCCGATTTGTGGAGCCTGCATCTCCATTGCTTGCGTCGGCCTATCCCGCTTCGTCCTCAGCCTCTCCATCGCTCGTGCCATCCTCGCCATCGCCCGACGTATAGGACATGCAGCGATTGATTCCGCCACAGCGAGCAACCGATTCTCGTCTCTTTCCTTTTTGCATCGCGCCCCAATGATGTCAATCCCACAGTTGCGATGCCGATCTCACCAAAGTATCTGATGTTGGTCGATCGACACCCTCGATCGGAAACTTGGAGGACCAGACCAACGACTCTCTTCCTTGTTGGATCTTAGCCCCGCCGTCTCTCTATGTTCAACGATGTTACAAAGGGAAGCAAAATGACTTGTGGATATTGTTACATATATGTAGTAGTACTTTTCATATCTGCAATACTATTTTTTCAGTTTGTGGTAACGTTTCTCAATGGCATATGTTTATAGTAGTAGGGATTTTACATATATGATAAAGGATTTCTAATGTAGTAGTGGTTCTTGGTAACTATTTCGTTCAAGATTTGTAATGACGGCTAATCACTACACAGAAAATGTAAATCAAAATTCATAAGTAACTATTGATGAACAATTAAATCACTACGATAAAATTTCTAACTCGCTATTGATAATAGTTAAATCACTACAAGAGAATTTAAAATCACTACTATAACCATCAAAACCACTACTAATTTAAGTACTAGTTTTTTTATGAACGTAGTAGTAATATTTTTCAGTAGTAATATTTTCACATAAAAAAATATCTATTAAAAAGAAGAGAGTTATTCAAACTTTAATTAATCTTTATTTTTATTTTTATTCATTAAAATTATTTGTTTTTAATTATTAAGTTAATTTACTCATATATCGAATATACCCCTCATTACTCTCCACCATTAGATTTAACTTCAAACTAATCAAAGATGATTAGAATGGTTAGCATGATATGCTAACTCTTATAGTATTTGATATACCAATTTACCCATAATCATGGCATAACCCCTACACTAATTAATGAGTAGTTACTTATAAAACTTGCAATTAATTAACATTTAATAAGTTATGAATTTTAAACTTGAACATTTGATTCAAGCCAAATTATACACATTTATACCCTTATTTCTTGGTTGTTTGACTTGTGTGTCATCGTCTTTGAAGCCATTTTTCTGCTAGGTTTTGCATGTTTGAGTGTATTTCAGGTCCTATCATGTGTAATTGGCAAAAGGAAAGAAAGTTGGACAAAAGGGAACCAAAACGGGACAAAATGTTGAAAAGTGTCAAAGCTCACGGTCTAGAGCATTTTCTCGCAGACGAGTCGTAGCAAGCTCTGGTGAGTTTGATGTTGCGACCATAGGCACTAGGTCGTGATCTAGATACGTCACTGCTTTTGGCTTCTTTGGAGGAAAGATTGTGGGGTAGAGTTCACGACCGTGATCCGGAAGTCGCGACCACGATCTCCCTTGTAGTCTCAAACTTAAGGAGTGTGACTTCGCCCTCAATTCCTTTTGTGATTCTCTGTCTGCTGCCTCTCTAAGATCACAACCTAAGGATTTGAGATCCTGTCGCGATCTTGCGCATAGGCCACAATCTAATTACGACAACCCTTGCACAGAATCGAGGATTTGCCTATTTTCCTACACTTGAACCCATGATCTTTGTCATATTTGTTTGAAACTCACGATACCACCTAATAAATCACAAACCAAGGCAATGGAGCAATCTAGGCTACATCAAAGGCTCAAACAATCTTGTAATGCTCAAAATGGCATGAAAACACCAGTATTAAGAAGATAAGTAACACCTATTTAGGTGTTATCTATTCACCACATCCCATTCTAACATCCTCATGTACTTTAACCATAACTTGTGGCACGCATAGATTTTAAAACCCATTGAAGACGCTTCATTTTTCTTTATGATGGCACAAACACTTTTTAGTTGCATTCTTCAAAAGTTCTATCATGGCCCATCCGTCATATGAATGAGCCATCTTTACCAGTGACGTTGCAAATCGGGATGGCTATTTTGCCCATACCCATGAGTATTTTACTATCCAACCCAATTGGGTTGGGTATGAAATCCTAATAGATGATAAATTGGTAGAGTTTGATGGGTTTGTAGCCATATCCATTTATTTGGGTTGGGTTTTTAGTCCATGTATTTGGGTTTGTACCCATACCCATTTTCAAATTATAGTTTGGTACCTAAACTTTAGGGACATATAAAAATCGGCCAAGAACCATGATTTTATTCACCCGCATTGAACCAATCCGTTTAACTGGGATGCTGGCTCCATTAGGAATACGAACTAGCTGACTAAAATAACTAGAATCATGTGTTAACAAGGCAGAATAATCCATGATGATGTGTTCGTTGCACCTAGAATCAATTGACCTTTCAGATTCTTGGGAAAAGGAAAACGTACCAGCCATTTGACTTCTGGCATCATTAACGCCATGGAACTGATTTCCAAAGAATTTCTTCAATTGTGCTAGCTGCTGAACTAAAAAACCAGTAATAGGACTCGACTCAGTCTCGGTTTGAGCAACCCTAGGTTCACGACTGCAACCACGAGATCCACCATTATCGCGACCAGACTCGCGTGATTTGCCACGATTTTGACGATCGTTCTGCTTGTCGCGGTGGCCAGCCTATGATCTCAAAGCAAGTTTAACAAAGATGTCCTACCTTATTGCAGTTTGTGCAAACTGGGTGCTCCTTGTCACCAGCACCGCGTTCTCCCATCCCACGCTCTGGAGAATTGCGAGCAGCTGCAAAAAGGACCTTGTCGGCCTCACCACAAGCAACAAAGTGAGCAGCCTCAGGAATAGGCTTGCAGTTTTTGGGTGAGGGTTCGCTCCTGCTCGTCGTTGCATACAGTATGGAAGGCTTCAGGTAAAGACGGGGTGATGCCATGGATAGGATGTGACTCCCAACTGTGGCTACCCAAGTAGAAAATTCAACAGTCGCAAACTCTCGTTTTGATCGTGGCATCGGCGACCGCACTGACAGACCACGCGGTAGGAGGATAGATTGGGTCTCTTCCCAAAAATTTCGGATTTTAGAATAGAAACTTGAAATAGACAATTTTTCTTGCTGTAGAAGACTGATGTGTCGCTGCAAATCATAGGCACACGCGAGATTGCCTTTGCTGAATCTATCACGAAGATCTTCCCATATTTCTTGGGCTGTTTTAGCGTGCATCACGTTGTTGTGCAGTTCCACGTCCATAACAGTTCGTAACCAACCCTTAACGAGGGAGTCACAATGTGCCCATGCCAGGCACTCCAGCGAACCAGTCTGAGGACATGATATCGTCCCATCCACGAAAACCAAGCTTGTTCTTAGTGACAAGCGCATCGGTCAACTCTAAAATCCATTTAGGGTGCGTTTGGATAAGTGTATTTTAAATGTAAGGTATTTGAAATACTAGCATTTGAAATGGATGTATTTGAAGTATTAGCATTTGAAATACATGTAATTCAAATTCATTGTTTGGATACTCATTTGTAATTTGTTTGCATTTTTGTATTTATGATTTTCAATTTCAATTTTTAATTTTTTGGTCACTTACTACAAATTTTGGTAAATTACAGTTTGGTACCCAAAATTATTTTTTCT